AGGCTGGTCTTGAACTCCTGACCTCAAGTGATCCGCCCGCCTCGGCCTCCCAAAGTGCTGGGATTACAGGCGTGAGCCACTGCGCCTGGCCTAGTGTTCAGAGTCTTTAACGCTGCTTCAGAACAGAGTTTGGTGTGTTTTCATTTGAGAAACAAGTCCCTCACGTAGCACCAGTAAGTAGCAAGTGCAGTGCCCTACACAGTGGTTTGATTGGCATCACTACCACCTGGGAGACAGCTCACTCAGGAAGTTTGTCTCCTCCTAGAGGACCACATCAAAGGGGATTTGTGGAAACATAAATTTAGGCTTCAAGCCTTTCTGGCTGTGTGCTGAAGCCTGATGCATAGAGCACAGTGAGATGGGGAAGCTGCCCTTTTGGAGCTGGTTGTTCAAGGATAGTGCAAGCAATCACTGGCTGTGCTGAAACTGAGGCCAAAGCAAACAGCTTAGTAATCCTCTCCCAAGACTAAGAGGGGCGGAAGCAGGTGCCCATCCATTTCCTTCTGGGCGTCTCATCCCTATTCTAACAACCAGAATTTGAAGTAAAACAAATCCATGGCTGTTTTTCAGATTTTAACCTAGAGCCCAGTCCCTAAAAAATCTCAGCCCCCTAAAAACATTGCAGACAATCAAATGAAACGCGTGACCTGTGGACTACTTACCAACACATACGTAATTCTTCTCATAGAATGAAAGCCAATGTTGAAGTGTCAGCATCTCAGAAGATGACAAATCAGATATATCATCCACAAGGCCTGCTTCAGAATAGTCCCCGGTCACAAATGCTCTGGATGCATCTCGGCCTGAAAGAGAGAAGTTTCCATCAGATCCAGTTGTAAATGACTGACACTGTCCCCACTCAAGAATCTATTTTCTTTTGTGTTTTTTTTTTTTTTTTTTGAGACAGAGTCTCGCTCTGTTGCTCAGGCGTGCAGTGGCATGATCTCAGCCCACTGCAATCTCCACCTTCTGTGAAAGAATCACTTTCAAGTGATTCTCCTGCCTCAGCCTCCAGAGTAGCTGGGATTACAGGCATCCGCCACTATGCCCAGCTACTTTTTATATGTTTTTAGTAGAGATGGGGTTTCACCATGGTGGCCAGGCTGGTTCTGACCTCAGGTGATCCGCCCACCTCGGCCTCCCAAAGTGCTGGGACTACAGGTGTGAGCCGCCGCACCCGGCAAGAATCTGTTTTCTGAGAAACGTCTCTTGACAAGCCCCACTCTTCATCCCCAGGGAAATGGGGTCCCCACCACCTCCTCTGTGGCAGATGCTCCTACACCTTGGACACACATCTCTTTGGCATTGATCACATTCTTTCATTTACCTTCGGCGATATTTAACACAGCTGACTGCTTCCCTTGGCCTGGTTTTCCTCCTACTTCTCCAGTTCCTCATTGTCTACCAGCCTTAGGGGTCAATGACCATCCACACCG